GCGTTTGTTGTGGCACAACACGTGTAAAGGCCGAAGGAAAATACACTCATGTCAGCATTTAAAAAAAACCAAACAACAACATTTAGGCAAGAGTGCTTACGGTTAGGCTGCAGGCCTGCCTTATCCCACCGCGTCTGCATTGCCCAAGGCTCACAGCAGAAGATGCCGAGGGAGGAGCAAGCCTCAATTACGTGCTGCAATTAGTAATCTATAATGATGTAAACACTGAATCACAATATGCATATGCAGAGCTGCTTATGTGCTTTATGATCTGCACACACACATAACACTGGGGTGCCTGACCAAACACACACGTTTGAACAAGCTAAATAATCAGAAAAGTGATTTGTGTAGTTTTCTATGGAGCTAATTATAATTTTACTAATAATTGAAGCTGCCACCAGTGAACCGCCTTCCCTCAGCACCACCCTTTAGCCTGTCACCTGCAGTTACTAATAACTGAAGCTGCCACCAGTGAACCGCCTTCCTTCAGCACCACCCTTTAGCCTGTCACCTGCACAGGGCAGTGGCGGAGGACGTGCCGCGCCAAGGAATGGGCCACAAACGAACCCGGAGCCTGGCCCACAACCTGCAGCTACCGGGAAAGGATCTTCTTCATGAACAGAACCAATTACATGCCCAGAGTGTAATCGGCATCTGCAAAGCACAGAGATGGCTTTGGCAATTCAACAGGCATCTCAAGCATATTTACGGCCGAACTATAGATGTTATTCTTCAAATAACAAACAGGCACCCATACTGACTTGGTCTAAAACAGTCTTACAACTTTCCCATCAGGTGAGAGCGGGGACTGAGTGAATTAGTGCAACTACGGGGGTACAAGAGCCAGAAAAATGCAGATAAAGCTCCAGCTTATGAATTGTCCATAATTATCACATTACTCACAAAACCTACACTGCATACAAATATGGGCTTACAGGAGGTGACATCAGTTCAGGGCTGAAGACAAGCTGACTTACATGGCACCCAGCACTAAACAGGTGATGGTAATGGACAGAAAACAGCAATAAGTAATAAAGCTTACTGATTTTACTAAAATCAGAAAGTAAGAATTCATTTTTCCTTGTTTTTCTCAACTTGGGAAACAGAGAGAGGATTCATTCAAAAGAAAATTTCCAACCTATTCACATTACTAATGCAAAATGAACCAAGCCTCTATAGAAAAACTGCTTTTTTTCCTGTTTCAGTGGAAAAAAAATTTGGAGCTTTGATTTTTCAGTCTGAAAAGGGTAAAGAAAGAAATAACACTTTCAATTCTAACATAACGTTAATTATTTCAGGACTAATCTTTTCTAACATACAGAAATTAGTTCAGTATTACTAACTACATTAAAGCCAAATTAATTCAGCTATAAAACATGCATAGTTTATGTGATCTGTTTAAAAAAAAAAATGAGGGGCACAGACACAGCATTTTCTTTTAGCCTCCGTAACAAAACAGTATTTGATTAAGGAGTAAAGAGGGGAAAGGAATGCTGGAAAATAATACCATTTATCACCTAATACTTATTCAAAGCCGTAAGTCAGTACAGAACATACTATTCCCTAGAAATATTTTTCATTTAACCTTGGATTCAAGCATAATTGTTGCTCCACAAAACACATAATTTAAACAAGGGAAAAAAAAAAATCGACCTACTTGGATTTCTTTATATTCCACAGCTTAACTGCATTCCAGTCTGTCACATGCCCAGTTCCAACTATTTTCCCCACTTTAAGTTCCTTTTAGAAAGAAATGTTGAAAAACATGAAACCACTTTTTTTAAGAATAAGGCTTCCAAACATTTTGAAACATTTAATCTTTTATTAATTGACATTCTCACATAAACTGAATAGATATAATCCTCTCAGGGTCGCTCCTATTAAAGGGTAGAAAAAACACCTTGTTGGAGGGAGCCTTTATTACACAGAATTAACTTGTGATGAGTCATGTCAGATATGAGCCATAACTTACTCTTAATGCCTGAAAGCTCCTTTACAAAATTTTTGTAAGGGGTATGGCAACAAGTTAGAAAAAAGTTCACGCTCTTATTCATGGTTTTACTCACAGAACTCTTTCTGATGTCCCCTGACAGCAAAGATTCTTTGTTTGCCATAGTAAAGAAGAACAGTTTATCTAAAGAATAGAAGGAAACCTGTCAATAATTTACATATCCACATATTTTCTTTAGTAAATTGAACTTGGAACTAGTGTATTAATTTAAAATTGTTTAAAATTTCCCCAAAGGACAAGTAAGTGATTTTATTCTCTAGTACCATGCAGCATAAATAAGATTTCTAGTCCTTGGGATTTCCTTCTTAACCTGATAGATCACAGCTGTTTAATGGATTAGTACAATGTATTTTATTATTCTTCATACTGAATACTATGGCAGAGCAAGGTTAAAGGAAAGTCTTGTTTTACACACGTATTACAGAAAGATGTACAGACATTCAGTTTATACTTAAATGTGTTAACATCCCAAGACTGCTAGATTAATTTAAAGATCAGGAGAAAAAGAAGACTGCCATGGCAATTTTTTTCTCACTGGAGAAGACAGACGACAGAATGCACACTTGGATATCGTTTCAGAGTCACTACATTGCAGGCATAAGAATGGTTTTTCACATTCTTCACACTGGTGTAAGTATATAAAAAAAGGCATTTCAGTTAATCATCTGTGACAGATATGAATGATTTCACTCATGACGGTACAGCTCTATATAGACACATACATCTAGGCCTGATTTTTGAGACGCACTGAGTGCATATAGCTGTTGTAAACTTAGAGACAGAGATAGTGCTGCTCAAAATTCATTCCTGTGATGAATGGTCTGGAGGTTTTTTTTTTTTCCTGAATAAAAATATACTTTATGTGAACTCTGATTTTTTTTTTTTTTTTCTTTTCCAACTAACACAGTGCCACACTTTACTTTTTTGGGTGGCTTGATGGGTATTCAGTTTTTAGCTGTTCCGTCTTGGGGATAACCAATAGGTGGTTTGAGGCTTTTTCTGTTTACTTTTTTTTTTTTTTTTTCACCTGACCATTATCTCACTAAAGGAGACATGTAGAAAGAAAAAATTTAAAAAGAAAGGAAGATTGATACATAAAAAGAATTTTAGATGAAATATTAACCCACCGTAGTCAGCACAGAAGTTTTCTGCTGACTACACGCATACTGAGGAAGTTTAATCCACTTCTATCAGAGTCAGCATAACACTGGTTCATTCCCAATTCACTACTTGTGAAACTATGTACCAAAAGTTTGAGACATTTTTCTAATTGTTTGGTATGCTTTAAGTATTGCTAAAATGCACCAAAAAAACCCATTTACTGTACCTATTTTAAACACATTCTCAAATTTCTGTTAATTGATACTTTTAGGAATGTACACATTTTCTCTATCAAATTTAATAGCTTAAAAAGCTGAACACTGCTTTTTAATACCTTCTATGCAACAAGAAAGTCTGATAATAATATTATATAAATAATTTTTAAAAGTTAGTTCTTTTTAATGTAGTTTCACTTAATGGTTATTGACAAGGAGAAAAAATACACAAAACATCTTGCAAATCCCCTACCAACACAATTGAGGCACTGTAACAACAAGCATGTTTCAATAGCATTAAGCTTGTTAATGTTCTTCTTTCCTAACATCTATTTATAATTCACGTTTTAGAAGTCAGAATACATACAGTCTCAGCTTTAACAAGACACTCCTCAGAATTCATAAAAGCTGATTTATGTCCAGGAGCACATCAATATTACCTGCCTTGGTTTAGTAATACTCCCAGATAAACTGCCAATTACTCTACAGAAGCATCAGGTGGAGAAAACCAAATTATGTTTATTTTTAAATGTACACATATGTGGCTATGTTTTCTAAAAACAAAAATGCATCTGTATATGAAAACTGGTGTCCTTAACCAAAGTCAATTTAAGAAAATAACTGTTATTACTACATCCCACTTCCAAAAAAAGATTTGACAATCTTTGCAAATAGAGAACAAACACAATCAATTTGTGTTTGCAGCCTAGAAAATCTGACAGCTTTCCTTTAACCCTGAAATTTTCTTTCTGAATAAAGGATGAGGTGTGGTTAAAAAACAAAAAGTCAAAAAGTGATAGAACCTGAGCAATTTTTGAGCCTCTTGCTTTTCTGATGTCTGTCACTGAAGGAATATGATCCATCTTTTCAATATTCCACAATATCAAAGTAAAATCCTGAGAAAAAATGCAATTATTTTTATATATTTGCACATTACCAGAAGAGTGATTTACATCATTTCTGTAAGGATGAAATCTCATTTCATCAGATGAGCCTTCTCAATAAACTCCCTCATATTTAGGTATCCTGTCTTTGGAAACAATCTTGAGCAATCCTAAACTGCCTGCACATTTTAAAATAACCAAAAATAAACATACTTATCAAATTATTTTAAATATTTTCTGTAATTACTTGAGGTAAATACTGATTACAACTTATCACTTTTATGAGTAATTCCACTATTGTTAAATTTCACACACAAAAAAAGCTGAAAACAGGGGATGAAATCTTCACATCCACTTATAAATTAGCTCCTGAAACCACGTCAGGAACTACTGATTACCTTTGATGCTGAAAGAATCCATTGGTTGTTTTTGCTAATCCCAACATCCATCACCCAGTCCCAATGACCCTACAGTAAAGCAAAAAGTAACTATAACATGAGGGAAAACATTTATTATTATTTAAAAAAACAAACCCAACTATTTGTACCATGAATCCATTTTGAAATGCAGTGAGAAAATTCTTATACAGATTGCCTCACGTCCAGTCAAGGAAAAACGTTCATACTTTCCGACCTACACCTGAAAACAGGGCTGTGACCATCTCTGGGAAGCAGACCACCAGCTGTAGCACTCAGAAGAATGACAGCTACACAGTTATCATGGGTTTAAGCTCCATTTAGGCATAGGTCTTTTCTATTTTTAGAGAGTTTAATAAAGAATTGTAAAGAGAGAGTTGACTTCTAACACTCATTACCTATACAATCTTGAGGCTGTTTATCATGCAACAATGGAGAGAAGAGCTATGAGAACATACAGCAGCCTCCTCCCATTGTAAGGGAAGGAAACAAGTCCTGAAAGCAGGCCAGGTGAAGCAGCTGTATCGGATATCCTCGTTCTGACAACACCAGCACAGCTGATGTGAGGTTAAAAGCACTGAGTTGGCATAAGAACAGAAACAGGTTAAAATCTAACATGAATTATTTACTCCAGCTAGGGAGGTGATTCAACATGAATGATATTAACAGATAAAATTCTTAGAGTTTAGGAAGACATGGTGTCATTTTGATAGACAAGTGCCACACCTGAGAAATACAATAAAAAGACGAATATACATTTTTCCAGCACAGAGAAATAGTCTCTTTATGCATACATACAACATGTTTTTTATATCAAAATCTTTAAAAGGTGTTTTTAAATTTAGTTATGAGCCCAGAATGCAACTGCACCAAGGCAGGGATTCTAAACTGGAATTCTCCATAGTTACAAAGATATTAGCATTTAAACAGATACCTTCTTTTTTATTGGAAACTGAGTTACTTACAGTGATTGCTGTGAACTAGGAAATTTGCAGTACCTGTATTATTCAAAGCACCGATGCTGCTGGAGAATAGGTACTGTTACTGCTCAAAAGGTTTAATCAATACGTAAGCTTACATTTAAGATAACGGGTGTGAGGCACAGGCTTATGAGTTCTCCTACATGAAGATGCCATCTTGAATGTGGCAGCAGTTGAAAGCTATTTTTAAGCCCAAGATTTTGAAGGGAAGTGGTCTTGTCTGAGATCTTCCAGGTGGGTTTGTTCATGAGTGTTTTAACTAAGCCTTGAATAGCATATGCAGTAAGTAAAAAATCCATTAAAATGATATTTTCATAAGACAGGAAAGAGCCAAGGTTGCAAATCTGAACTCTGACATTGTCTGACTTCTATGAAATTAATATTTGCAAAATCCAGGCACATAACTTTATGAATACTGTTAATCCTTTTCTTTGACCCATGTCTGATCATTAGTTCAAGTCTTGCAGCTTGTTTCCACAAAAATAAGAAATGAATGAAAGGTATCGTAATATAATATGGTATGTCTGCAAAAAATAAAGTCATGATGGCACACAAAAACCCTAATGAGAGTTGGACTTTTAAAAAACTTTATGCAGTTATTACTTACTGCCTCAAATTTTAGGTAGTATTGCCATGGATATGGCAGAAAAGAGGAGGCCTATTCCTCTAAGCAGGGATAGGTAAATACTGAATAGCTACCTCTTTTACAGAATCATCCATCCTAAAAAGTGCTGTAACTTGTTGGACCACATCCCCATCACTATACACAGTAATGTAAACTTAATATCTGCACTATCCAGGCTCTTGTTACTTCCTGGAAGAAACTCTCTCCTAAAACATACATCCAACTCCATCCAATGTAATCCTTAAATGAGCTTGTTCATAAAAAGAGAAATGTAATAGCTTATTAACAACTGACTTGACAAGCGCAATGTCCTTGTAGCTAATTGTATAAGAATATAGTGTCCTAGGAAATTAAATCACACAAATACAGGACATATTCCTGCCTGTATCTAAAAAGGATGGGCAAGGCTATTTGTCAGATAATGAAATACACAATGCTTTTAAACCAGCAATACATTTTACACCTTCCCATCAAACTAGTGACCAAATAAGAGCTCCGTACCTTTAAGCTTAGCTTTTTATAGGCTGCATCTGTATCCCATATAGCTACAGTTTTGTCATATCCACCAGACACAACAAGTGATGCTGAAATGTAAAATCAGAATACATTTTATCTTTGCTTTATCATACAGGCAACTAAAAGAGGCTCCTTCTAGTGAGTCAGACTTCATTAAAAAAATTAAATAATGAGCTATTAGTCATGTCTTAACAAGATCATAGAAGTTCCTTTCGGCTACTTGTTGTCAATGTTCTTAATTTTGTTAATACATAAATTTAGCAAACATACAACTGGCTGGAAAAAACACACATGCAAATTTTGTTGACTTGGAAAATTAATGAGATACCCTGTTTAAAAATTAAAATATAGAGACTACTTTCAGAATTGTTAGGTCAACTGTGAATAAAAACAAAAAAGTAGAGTTCAGTGTGGAAAGCATGCTTTCAGATTCCAGTATTCACAGACCTATTTGCATTTGCATGTCTTCAAGCCACAGATTCATTTTTCCCCACAGAGTTGCTATTTATTTATTTGAGTTGCCTCACGCAGAAGGCACTCTTTGGGTATAACTGCAGATTAACCTGCTGACAGCAGTTCAGGAGTCATCTTTACTGCAGTATTCAGATGTGAAGTTGCAAAAGAAAATGGCCAATTAGATCACAATGTACAGAAATTCATATTAGTCCTTCCCAGCAAAGAGAAGCTGCTTCAGGGCAGTAGCACTTTGCAGTAACACTAATTTCATGCTGTTCATGAAGTTTTTCAGAAGTACATTACTAGCATATGTTGTTTGGGCTGAGAAGTAACATTACTTTTGTGGGTACTAACAAACACATACACATTTCCCTAATTATTACAGGCCAGTAGAGTATTTACTGAATGTGTTTTTTCAAATAACTAATGTTATGAGAATATCTGCAAGTGCTAAGTTAATCTTCTAACATAGAATTGTGCTTTCACTTTATTATGATCCTTTTATTATACCTCTTGATGGTTATATCAATTAAGCAGGTGTTCCAATTGCCTGGTTAAGACAGAACACAGACCATCAACTTCAATTTACTTATTTACAGGGACATCATTTTCTCACAACTAAATCTTAGAAATTATGAATTAATTACCTATATGATGAGAGGGGTCACTTGTGCTTTATCTGAGATGTCCTATATATAGATATTGAGATAAATCATGGACTAGTATTAAGATAACTCACCATCTTGACTAAAAAGGCAGGAACTAACAGAACCCTCATGTCCTTGGTTCAAGCAAACGGGTTCAGGACACTGAAATTCTCCTGTCTTTATATCCCATATTTTTAAGCTTCTGTCCCAGGATGCTGTGCACAAGTAACGACCATCAGAGGTAAAGCAACAATCTGAGATAGCATTGCTGTGTCCCCTGAAACACAGATGAAAAACACAGGAAGAGTGAGCTTTTGTAACCATTACAAATCTCTCGAAGAGCCTCCCGCAACATTGAGCACTTTGTCTCTATTCAGTAAAGCATCAGAAGCATATTCTGAATTTCAACCACATGGACAGTTCTGTAAAGTCTCTGGAGCTGCTTATAACCTCACAGCCAGCACGGGCTTCAGTCCCTTATAGAAATAGGTAATTTTGCAGGATTGAACCCTAGCTGTTAAGTGACAAGTGACCCGCTATTTTTTTTTTTGTTCAGCAGCTACAACACACCACATTTTACTAAATTACAAAAAAAAGCCACCCATTTTTCATTAAATAAATAACACGCATCTATCCCTACATGTAAATTTCAACTCAAACATTCAGAGGAAAAACACTAAAGATTCAACAATTCAGATTAAAGTCTAATTTTAGAAGCAGTGATACCCATCAGAAAAGAAATCTGGATGTTCCCGAACTGGGTGAGGACTCTAGTGCTTCCTGAAATCTGCAGTGGGGAAAGGATTATGAGCATTTCTTACAGGAAACAATGCTGTAGTCACTGCAATTTAACAGAAACATTACAATGTTCCAGATTGAATTTCCCATCCAAAGTAATTCTTAATCTCTCAAAGACAATTTTATTACAGTGTTTAAAGGCAGACTCTCTCTCTTATTATTGTTTTAAGAATTCAAAGTTAAATTGGTTGAGTTTATTTAAAGCCATTTATATTTTTAACAGTTGATTTCACATCTCTATTGTTGCATACTTCCTTCTTAAAATTATAACAATATCCCACATTGACATAATGTTTTCACTGTATTACTGCCTTCAGTGAGAGACATAAGAGTTCAGCGTGTGAAGGCTCAGGAGATCACACGGAGCAAGGCTTCTGGCACAGGGCGTGACCTTCTCCAAAAGCATATAAAGAAAAATCATCTGGAAAAACAATCTCTGCACTCAGAGAGTGGCCACAATTGGTTCACGATGAAAATGAAAGTACACCCTGAACTGGGCTCCACAGCCTCTGTCCTGATTCCAGTCCTATTTCATACTTCCATTAACAATGCAGCTAAGGAGATAAAAAGTACTGGGTCCACAGTTATACGAGGGATAAGATTAAAATTCAAAATTACCTTCACAAATTAAAGAAATTATCAAGAAGATACAAGGGCTGTAACAGTCTCTATAGGAAACAATGCTGTAGAAGTGTAGAATGTTTGTAGAAGTGTTACAGTGTTTAATTGATTATCTAATACACGTGCTGCCCGATCAGGTCAATTTTGTCAAGTCTGACCTTCTGTAGTAACATACAAATAAACAACTGCACAGATAAGGGGAGGGAAAAATGGACTACATCACAGTTCTGCAAAAAAAAAAAAGGATGCAACAAACACTGACTCCTCTCCACCATCATGCTGTCAAAAAAAAAGCAAATCTCATCATCCCAGCATGTATGAACAGAGGCACACCAACAGAGAAGCATGTAAGAATAATTCGTTTCTATTTTTTCAGTTTACAGGGAATACTGTTTACATTATGGGGCCATATAAGTCAAGAAAAATGTGGGCCAACTGGAACAATCTCAGAGATCAACAAGAAAAATGATCAGTAAAGTAGGAAATAATAATTAAATATTAAATTAATAAGGCTGGTTTGATCTACTGGAAAGATTATTCTGAAGGTATAATAGAAGTTCTTGGATATATATAAAAACATAGATGAAAACAAGGGAATAATCTGATCTCCATTCTGAAGTGGATCTAAACAGAAACATGTGAGCTTAAGCTGCAGCTTAAAATTGTTTGGAAGTCTATAAGGTCTTCACTGGAGCTCTTGAGGGGCTGAGTAGAACATGCTGTGGCTGCTTTGAGGCCCACAAATTTTATGAAGGGCTAAGGTGATCTGGGTGCAGTGCAAAACCTAATTATCACAAAATATTCTGTAAGAACTCATGATTAATTATCAATTCCCAATATCTAGACATATTTTCTTCTTTTCCTCTGTTATTATTTTTGCTTCACTCCATAATGTTTTTAAAGACTTCACTATTCTAAGTAATATTTTATCTTCTCATTTGTCAATGATTATACATTTTTCCTAATTAACAGCCATTAGAAGTTTACACTGCAGTACCTTACTGCATATGCTATCTTCTGCTTCTACATATACCCAAGAACCCAGAAGCTCTAAAAAAATAGCACTAGAAATGCTTACAGTCATCAAAATACAATTTTTCAATTATTTACAGGAGGAAGCTTGAGTGGACGATTTTATTAATACTTTTTACATATGTAATTTCTTTGCATGTTACTTTATTTAGTTCAAAAATTATTGTTCCTTTTCTCTAGTACAAATCTTAGCATAAATCTCATTGATAATTGTAAAAGTTGCAAATAATGTTGTGTATAATTAACTATAGTATTGTTTCTTACTCATTGATTGTAATTGAGGTGGATCGTGTTCTCAGATCCCATAGTTTTATGGTCTTATCATATGATACTGAAGTCACTCTTTGGTTATCAGGGTCAAAACAACATCTTGTGATTGTACTTTTGTGATGACCTATAAAAAAACCATCAAGTGAGACTATTAGTTATTTTGAATAATTACATCTGGATCTCAGAACACAGGTCTGAAAGGCAGAACTACCTATGGCATCTATGTGTCAGTCTACTTCCAAACCACTGTTATTTCAGAATCACTATTTCACTGTCTGGGACACCTCCTCATTTGTCTCTCAATGAAAAAGAGGAGAGGCCTTATAGTTACAGAAGAGAGTGCGAAATAGGAACCTGTACCCAGGCACTCAACACATACGGTTAATGTAAATTCACAAGCTGCCCTGTAGTAACTTATTTCTCTGCTCCATTCCTGAAAATAAGTCCAGAAGCATGACCCCATAATGCCAATGACAGTTAACTACTCAGACTCTTAGGAAGCACTTAGTAATTATACCCTAAGAATGCAAATTGCTTTATTAAAATAATGTAAACAAAATATGTCCTGATAGCGTCGCCTAACAGAGACAGTTCTAATGAAGCTATTAGGATCCGTTTGTTGCACTTTTTATTTTTAAACTCAGATGATTTTACAATCAGGCTCTGATTCACAGCAGCACATTAACCATATGCTAATTTAACATTTGTAAGACTGCTCATGTATTTAGAAGCTGATTCTGCAGGAATGGCAAACTCCCTGACCTGCAGTCCTGAGTGGAAGCTTCATGGGATGGAGGTCTCACTACTGAAATTACTTTCAAAGGTAATTATGCTTCAAAAAAGAATCAGTTGGTCTAATTTTGGCCCATTATCTCATTTCTGTAAGCCTATTCTGAAAAATACTGGGTTTAATGTCTGACAGGTAAGTTTCTTATGCCTTTCTCAAGTAAGGCAATTTGAACTGAACTGAACTGATAAATTTTCTCAATTTTTTATAAGAAATAAAAAAATTCAAGAGCTGCATAAACAAGATGTAAAAGTTCTAAGTCTTACCTTGGATATGTGCCACTATGGTTGCACTTATTGCATCAAGGACACATATGGTATTTTCTCTGTCTGAAGCAGATACCACATATCTGCCATCACAAGAAATATTACATGAAGTTACAATGCCTTCATGTTCAACTGTCCACTAAAGAGAAAATAAAAGGTTTTAGAAACATGCTTGAGGTTTACAGAGAGTTTCACAGCAGACACTCTGTAACACGTAACCAGGTTCAGAAAGAAGGCTTTTGATACTATTTTGTTTTGGTGGAAGCTGATACATGTCTTTATATTCAATTTTTCTATTTTCGCATTAGCAGTAAACTAAAAATCAGACAAGGCTGCTCAAATCCTAAAATGTTAATTTAATCAACCTAAAATGTATGTTCTGAGACAGGTGATTATCATCATACCCATTTGTGTCTGAAATAACTCATCAAAAGACTTACCCAGGATCAAGCAATTATCATAACCAAAACTAGGACTAGAAACCAAGCCTACCTACCATAACTACATTGTATTGTGCTAACAAAGAACGTTTATTTTCTTATTTATCAATAGCAAAGCAATGAATCTGAATTTTACAGTGGTGCCTTCTGCAAGATGCATTCCAAAGGATACATACAAGCATTTTTCCTGTTTCCATATCCCAAGCCTTGACAGTGTGATCATATGACGATGTTACCACTCTAAAAATGTTAACAAAAACAGCAATCAAACTTTTCACTTAAAAGAAGGCATTTAAAAAATAAATTACAACATTTAGTTCTGACAATTATTTGACATCCTCAAACCCACTAATTCAAAATAATTTTAAAGGCTACAGCAACAATTATTGCATAGCTTAGTTGAAAAATGATTACTTATATTTCAAAAATAAACTATAATAAAAATGTCACGTATGTAATCTTCAGTGCAAGCAGTCAACTCAATTTCATTTAATCCATTACAAGATATTTAATTATTTCCAGTGTTAGAATAATTTTAAAGCCATTATGATGTCTTTTCTTTAGTGAACGTGAAGGGTTCTTGTCAATAGGGTTTTTTGGATTTTCAGCAGTTGCATTGCTGGGTAACCCTCTTCCACAAACGCTGCTCTGCGCAAACACAATGCCACATTAGACAACAAAGCTATTCAATAAAGTTTACTAAAACTGGCAGGATTCCATTAAGTGGGAGGTAAAAATATCTCCCTCAAAAGTTTTATTAAAATATTCCCAAATATCTAAAGTAATATTTATATTGAATGTCACTGGATATAACAACAGAATTTAGTTACCATTGTGGCTTTTTATTTCTATAAATTTCATAAACTGTCACTTTATAAACATTTTGCCCAATAAACTCGATGTATTAACATTCTAACAACTAAAAATATAACTATATTATTAAAATATTTTTATTTTTTCCATATGTGTATATTTCTTGCCACAAACACAATCTCTGCTCCTAAACGGAAAGACGTAACACAAAAGACTACGTGAGGTTTATGAACTGGTAGAATTTTTTATTGGAAAGTCATTTCCAAGGCTGTACACAATGGTATTTTGCTCACTGTTTAGCAAGTTTCAAAAATATACACAATTGCTATAAGCAGTGTAGCACGTGTAATATTCAGTGATCAAAAAACTAACCAGTCAACTCTACAATCTGATAAAAAATGATTTAAACTATGACTTAATGATAAAATATGCCACGAAAAGTACTGCTGGAGGCACCGCATGACCTACTCAACTGAATTTAATATATGCTACAGCTGTTTTAATTATTACATCCACAGATTGACACTGGATTAAGATGCATTTCTTCTTTAATTGACAAGACAGGCTTAATGGAAAGGCTATGAAATATTAATAAGCAATACAGACAGAAAAGAACTTTCACGAAGGTATAAATCTCACTAACAGATGAACCCCTGACCCTTGGCTAATTCAATGTTGTTCTTTTATACAAGTAATATATATTTATATACCCCTTTCAGATCATATGGCAAAGATAGACTTCCAGACCCATATAACTCAAAAAACAGTATTAGACCAGTCCTTTGCTCTAAAAGAGGCTATAATCAGACTTCCAATACGCATTTAAGACAATAAAAAGATTCCTGTTTAATTCAGCAGATGTTATATGCAAAACAGAAAAGTATTTAAGAGCTCCCGTACAAATTGTAGGTGAGAACAAAGTGAGATTGACGGTAGTGCATGTGATTGAAGGAGTCTGGCAGTAACCAGTCTGCTAGCAGACTATGGACAGCATAAATGAAAGTGCAAGAATGGAGAGAAGTAGGAGTGTATGGAGGAAGGGAGACGTAAGACAAAATTGTAACAGAATGACTTACCATGGAGCACAAAACTAAGCAAAATAAGTTTGACTTTGATGCAGTAGAAGTCAGGAAACTATAGGAAGGACTGAAAAAAGTAACTTATTTGTTCTAAATTTTGTACTAGGTATTTCCACATGCACTGAAATTGAACCTTGAAATGGCAAAAACCATAATTTTTTTTTAAATAAATAAATTAAGATAGAAAATGGTCACCTTCTGTCATCAGGAGTCAAGTTGCACTCGGAAATTGGGGCGGTGTGTTCTTCTTCAAAAACTTGAATAGGAAAACCTTTCTCAACATCCTTGAATAAATCCAAATGAGTTTGATTAGGAAGTGCTCTGCTAAATTATAAAAAAATACAATGCGTCGCAAAGTAAGGGAAAACAAAACTTGTTCAATCAGTAAAGTTAGTCTTACTTTAGTTATTCGCACAGTCTCAGACCCTCTATTCCTTCTTTTCAAGACTGACTGAAACAGAGCTCTTCACCTATCACACCCAAACTCATATTTTCCTTCCCACCACAATAGTTTTCACCAGAAATTTACCGAAAATAGTTCTCATTAGACTCTCACAACCATGCTATACCTAAATCCTGGCAAGTCTTTCTATTTAAACTAAAATATTGCTTTCCATTTTCATTCAGATAGTTAAAACTCACACTCTCAAGACCTGCCATTCCTGTATCAATTATTGTAACATCATTTTCTTCATCTTCACAAATGGAGCCTCCTCTGCTTGTATCCACGAGCAATGCTCTTCCACAAATTTCCCCTTACTGTCTGCATTATGTCATTCAAATACAAAGCTCTTTGTCATTTATCCCCAGACATTATCTGCCTTCCTTTGCCACTCAATTGTTAGATTTTCTAAATGTATGAGTTCCCCCTTGCTGTCCTTCATGTTTTGAAGAAGTCATCTATAAATAACTGGAAATCTCTCTCATAATACAAAATCCCTCTTAAATTTCTGTTTTGTGATTCTTACAACAGCAATCAACAGCTTGCTGAAGTGCTGAGATGGCAACCTATTCTGCATTACTAGTTCATTTGTATTACTCCATCATCTTCTATACACTTAGTGTGTTTACACAGAGTTTAAGTGACTTCAGGAGGAGACCTTTTGTCATACGTGTATTATGTTCAAAGCATAGCGCAGTCCTAACGCATGAGTAAAGCCTTGAGGTTCTTCAGCAATGCAAACAAAAATATGAATAAAGTTTTACAAATGCATCACAGTGCCTGACTGTAAACATCAAAACAACAACAACAAAAAAAAAACACCCAGGACTGCTGACATGCAGAGTAACTCACAGGCCAGTCTCACACGATCAGTCATCATACCTTCATCTAGGTAAATAACCTTCTATTTCCATGACTAACCCAGTTATTTCAGTTTGAGTTTTGTTTGCCTATGTACCAAAATGTTTCAGAGTCAGTCTGGAAGCAGACAAACTCCCTTCACTGCATATGTGTTCTTTCATTTGTCTTCAATATGAGAATAAAATCTCCTCCCCTTTTTAACATCAACTGTCAAGTCTCAGATCTCGAGCTGCTTCCTTACAAGGACCTTCACTTGAAGGAGCTACCCTGCTAACTTGGCAGCTCTCGATAACACACAAAACTGGAGTGAAAGTAAATTTATTTTTCACTTTTTCACTTATTTTCTGAATGTGTCTCAATGCACTGAAAGCCTAACACCAGAATCATTAGACGTGTCTCTAAGACAGAAGAAAAAATAGATCAAAATTACCATATGTTCTTGTTCTATTTTTCTGAGTCAAAAAAACCTTGCAGTCACAACTGCTCTTCTAGACTTATCTAGCCTTTGTTTGCTGTGCACCCTATTAACCTTTGTTTTCCAAAAGATGCGTGGACTGTCAGTGAGGTAGTGCCAGTTCTCAAGAGGAACTTCAAATGCTTTCTCAGTACACTCAATCATTTGATATCTACTCTTTCAAAGGAAAAAAAGATAAAATGTCAGGGGTGGCCTAGCCCTTTGTGACCAAGTCCTCCGTAGTCTCCTGAATTCTAATTGCTTCAGCTGTTCCTGCAGAGGAAGAAATTAGGCTTGTCCAGACAAAATTAAGCTTATCAAACCAAGTGAATATAATCTTGCTATTGAAAAGTTCCCAGTACTTTGAGACAGATTCTGAAAAATAAGTATCACTCAGCAAGTGTTGAATAAATCTACCATAGATAAAAATTATTTGTATTTCTTAGGCAGATTAATCCTTCCACACTCAGGCAAGTGGCACATTACAGCCCTTCCAGCAAAAGCAACACTAACATATCTACTGTGCTTAAAAACATTAATGGATTATCTTCTTATTTTTGCATCTGGATTTCAGTTTACTTACATGTAAGACAACCGAATAACATTTCGCTATCCAGTTCTGAGTTCAGACAAAGCAGGGAAGTTTGGAACCGTCAATCTGACAGTTATTAAACTGTAAATGTCATGACTAACACAGTGAGATCCACTTATTTTTATTTCTCCTGTCCACAGTACTTGCCTAGAGATCTCCACATTTCTTTACCTGAGAACTGATCACTAAAAGATGGGACTCTTTTCATCCTAGACTTCCTGATCTCTTGGATCAAGCCGTCCACAGTTCTTAGATAACATAATGGTGCTCACCTGAACATTGCCTGTACTTTTTACACTTTTGGGGTTCAAATGGAGTACATTTGAAAAAAGGTTTGGATTATGGTAGAAACCTAGTACTGCACTGGTAAGAAGTCAAAACTTAAAATCCATTATAAAATTATTCCATCTGTATTTGTATCATATTAAGGCATTAGGATAACTCACCACCAATCAATTTGATTTTGAATCAAATCATGATTTTTTAATATATGCCAGATCTCAATGCCTGCAATCTATTTAGCACAGCTACATTGTCATTGGCTTGCATACAATTCAAGGGCTCACACAGTTATGTCTCCAAGCTATCTGTTAGACTAAATTTAGATTTGATCACCCACAATCTGTACAATTCCCCAGTTCAGATCTCACTGTTACTCTGCTCAGAGTCGCTGGAATTTTAGAGAAACCCCAGCTAACTACACAAAACTTGGAGCAGCAAGAAAATAAAAGGGTGCATATCAAGTTTAAATAAAAGGGAAAAGCAAGTGTTGATCAAGTATGAAAACACCATGGCCATGCTGATAACAACTGTGTGATCCCTACCTTCTTCTCCCCAAAGTCATACACATAAACAACTCAGAAAAAGGAACTTTGAGGAGAAAAGGAGTAAGCTTTGTTTATCAGCTTACAGTTTTAAAACATTAATAAACCAGAGCTCCGATTCAAGCTCATATGCTTACACAGGTCACCCTTTAATGTCAAAGAACATTTGAAGTATGAAATAGGAGGTTTACTATTTGTGACTGCAAAAACATTTACAGTTGCTGTCTTTGAACTTCAGTAAAATATCTTCAGAAAGCCCCTTGACGGTTCAATCTTCATGCCTGTATAACATTCCTTGTTTGATTTCAGCTTTATTTTTTTTAAATTGTCGTTGTTGCATTCATAACATACCCAGAGCTTCACTGTTCTATCATAAGAGCATGAAAGTATTTTTGTGTCCTCAAAGCAAAAATGGCAGGAGCTGACTGTATCACTGTGGCCTCTCAGAACTTTAAATTGGATCTGTAAAGGAAGAGAACGAAGTTTAGGAATATTTTTCATTGGAATTATTTTTGACAGCTTAGTCCACGAGGGGGAGTATGAAAGCAAGAGCTGGAGCAGAGTATTTAAAGTTCCACTTGTCTGAGAACATCCTTTCCTTGGTACTGGCTTGCAGCATATTTACCAAATCTGGTGAAGAAGGTTGATGGATGTGGATTTTACTTCTGTTTTTCTGGAGGGAAAGGAGGTTTGGTTTGGTTTCCCAATTCTTCCTCCTCTCATGAGTGTTATTTATCTCCACATCTCATGCAGGCTCTCTCGAGGCTTTCCAGCGCTTGTCCCCTCGATTCTGGCCCGAAGGGCAGCACATCAAGCTCTCAGGCAACACGTTTTAGCCAAGACCGTTACAAATGTTGTAAAAGATACTTTGAAAAGGCTTTTCTTCGTTCCTTTGGGAGGCTGGCCACGACGGTCAATCATATGTTTGTGAGAACAGAGCTAACAAAAACCCAGCTGCCACGTGCATTCACCACATGGAACGGCACAGGGCGCTGTCCCACCCCCG